AATGCATCATTTTTAAACTTTTCGTATTCTTCAATTTCTGCAACTTTTGGATGCTCTTTGTCATTTATTTCTGGCCTTTTTGCTTCCAATTGTGTTTCCAGTTCTGTGCTATTATCAATTTGAGATTCCCATTTAGGCTGAGTTATTTTATGGTCACCATTCAACTTCAATGGCGTTTGCAAATTATTGCTTTGCACACAACTTTTCCCATCCAACGATGCTTCTTTTTCTTTTATCAACAACACTTTGTTACTTTGAGTATTTTCCATTACTACCTGATTTATTTCGTCGAATTTGATATCATCCTGAATAGATGAACTTTCAGATGATTTTTCACGTTCATAATTATCTATTTCAATTACTTGATTTTCTTTACAAGTGCCTTCATTACTATCATTATCTGTAGTGAAGTTAGAACCTTCAGAACAAATTTCTATTCTATTCTCATCTTCATCAATATGGTTGTTTTTTAAAATCTCATTGCGATTTCCAATTTGGCTATCATCCTCATTTATATCAATTATATCGCTATCTTCAGAAGATTTCGTATTTTTTGGTGGTTCTTCAACGGAATAATCATCATTTGGGTGGCCTGGAGATGAATGCTGTTTGGTCTTACTATCACTTGTGGCAATACTTTGAAAGAAATCATCTTCGTTTGATTTGTTACTTTTTACTTCCTGGTAAATAAGTTTTTTATCCAAACTTTCCGTCTTCAGCCCAAAGTAATTCATCTTATCTACATTGGTATTTTCTGCTTCTGCAATAATGCTTTTGTCTTGCTCTTCTGCTTTGTTTTCCGCAATAATAATGTCCATAATATCTTCAGATTCGTCATATTGGAAATTCGTATTTTTTTCTACAACCTCGCTAATGAAATCTTGATTCTGGCATCTTAATGTGTTTTCATAATTTTGTTGGGAAATTTCAGCAGCCGCAGCCCCTTTTTCTTGCTTTTCTGGTAATTCATGCACGATTTCTTCGGCAGTATTTTTTTCTTCATTACGAATTTCAACAAAATTGTTTTTTGGTAAATCCTCTCGTCTCAAGACAATACATTTTTCATCGTTTTCTGAAATATTTAAATCTTTTGGTTGATTGGTTGAAGTTCCAAAACCTGTAACATCTACATTTATTTTATCTTCTATCATTGTATTTTCATCTTCCTTTTCTAATAAATCACACTCATTACATGTGTTATGCCGAGTTTTGTTTACATAATTATCATAACTAATTATTTGGGATTCAGTTTTTATTTCTTTATTAATATTTGTATCTTCCACTTTAGAGCGATTACTGTCCACTTGGTCGTTGGAAGTTTCCATGGTATTTTATGGTCTAAAAACATTAGAAAAAAATATAAATAAAAAAAAAATCTGTGATCACTAGATTAAACCACAATATTTACCTCAACATTTCCTAGTATAATAAATTTGGTTGGATTGGGTAATGACTGAAAATATATAGAAGAATATGAGTGAATTCGCAAAAATAATTTTTGAATTAAAAAAATTGATATCTTAATTACAAAATGATGTTCATATGTAAAGACTTTTTGTCTTTAGTAAATAAAAATTCCCCTTTTATATTTGCTTAAAAAACCAAAGCGTTAACATTGATTTTAAGACTCAGCTCATAAATCCGATTATCACATTAAGATTGAGTAATTTGTTATGTGAACGTCTTTCCTCATCGTTGAATTTCATTCTGAACATCTTTTCAAAATTTAAATTCATCTTAATAACCTAAATAAGCGAAATTTTGACTGTATAACATTTTTATAGAATTATTTTTCTTTTTTTCATCAACAGTAAGTAATAATGCGTAATTACGATTACGAATTTACCCTAAATATATAATACATTATTTATTATATCAAGCCGTTGTAGGCTGCTGCATTGGCTATATTTTATAATGTTTTTCAAACTTTCAGCACTGTCGAATGTATGAACATTTTGACGTGTACACATATAGTATATGAACATTTTAATTTTCAGACCTTAAGAGTATGTAATACGGAGCTAAAATGGTTATGGAGGGCTAGACAGGATTCTCCAGGTTAATATATAAATATAGCACTGGAAATAGTTTGCTTATTTCCCTACTGCACTTTTTTTTATTTTTGGTCATTGATATTTTTGTTATGTTGATATAGTAACAGTTGAATAAGTTTCTCAACTTTAAATGCAATTATCCTAAGAACTAAGTTTCCCACGGTTACATTTATTTATTTCCTTATTTAAAATGCATACTCTATCCGCTCTTACCAATTTTAATCCCGAATTCGGTGAATTTTATTCTATATTCATGATGTACATATATAGATTTATTCCCGCCATCTTCACAACAAAATATGTATGTTGTTGAATGAAGCACATGGTTTTCGAAACTCCAAGCTACCCCGTTAAAGGAAAGGGTATTGTAAACAATAAGCGTAATAACAAGAAAGATAATTAAGATATATTTTTGAGCGAATTATACAGGTTTTTTAAGTCTAGTTCAAATATTCAATTACTCACAATCAAACAATACACAATTTATGTCCGATAAACTTTAAACTGCTAACTAAGAGAACAGGTAAAAAAAATATCAAATTTGCGAGCAACGTTACTATTTCAGAAGTCCACATTCTAAAGAAATTTAAATGTTTAATTTACAGTCAATAGTTAAACCGTTCTTACAAAATTAGAAAATATATTTGAAAAAGTTTAAAGAAATTCATTGATGCAGCTTTTTGATAACCGTAACCATGTGAAGCGTTGAATGTTGTAAGTACGACTAGTGATTATCACACCACCGCCCCTTTTTATTATATTTTTCACTTCTAAGCAAATTATAAACAATGTAACAAAATATTATAATTTGTTAAGCACTTGGGGCAGAATTCAGAACTCACTTTGTGAAATCCTGCTGCCACTCGCCAGCGTTCGCAGAGCCGACCAACCAATGACGACCACAACCGTGGCTGAGGCACACAACCAACAAAATTCACTTCGTAAATTTGCTTCTAATTGCACAAATTCGTGTTCCGTATTATCAGTCAATACTTTTTTGCAGCGTTTATAATGCACACAAATTTCAACTAGTTCTTGAATATCAATATTTTTATAATGTAATGTTATTTGCTGCTTTGTTAATGTTAAAAATTTGTGTTTTTAAGACGCACGTTTCCCAAACAAAAAATTGCGATTCTTGGCGTTAGCCATTTTCAAGCAGTCTGCCAACCTAACGCACCTAAATGTCAAAACGCCATCCACATTCCCCATTCAATTATTCTATTACAATTTTTCCAATTCGTACCAATTCAAAAGTTATCTCTAATGTGTGGAATACAATGCTCGCGACAGACTGCAAACGACATCTGTCAAATATTAAAATACACACGATCTTAAGGACGGACTTATTTTGACAGCTGCACGACTACACGACTGCAGGCCGACAGTTGTCGTTCTCGCTAACTTCAATTTTATCCTATATTTGCCAACGACAGTAGGACGACAGTAGAGTTGACAGTAGAATGGAAGATAGAGAGATGAGGTAGAATGGTGATGCCACTAATATATAAAATGTAATATTACTCAAAGCTCTAACAAACCCGACGTTGTTTTACAAATAAAAGCATAAAATAGCTCTAATAATAACAATTGATAATTTTAAACAAATAAATTTACCTATTTACTTATATTTTGCTTAAAAAGTATCACTTTGAACAAAATATTAAAATTTCATTGAAGTGCAAGGTATTAGTATGGCCACAACGAAATTGTGTACATGCAAAATTTACAACTGTGTTGTTTTGTGTACATGCCGGCCATTGTTATGTTGCTGCCCTCTCACAAACGTTCATGTAGTAGGATTCACAACGTCGTTTTCAGTTCACTGTCGTGCTGCTGCAGTCTGTCGCGAGCATTGTGTTCCTCACATAATTCACAAACAGTATTGGTCATATGCTTAGCACATTTCATTATGTTTAGCCAATGTGTATTGAGCCAAAAATTTTGAAATAGAGAAACAAATGTTTCCTTTCAAGGTTATTTGTTTACTAATTGAAACTAATTAAGGCATATGGTAATTTGTATGATATTCCTGACTGCTGCCTTTGGGATGTATATTTCATAAAAGCTATAGTACTAAAACCTACTGGAACCGAAATTTTGAGACACCGACATGGTTCCCATTTATTTCAAAAAAATAATCTGTTTCGGATTTTTTGAATGTTTTAAAAAAAGTTTTGTTTTGAACAATGAATTCTCAAATGTTATCAACAATCTATTACTATTTATTAGAGCTTGAACGCAGTACAAATTAAATTTACAGTGATGGCCTTATTAGTAGAGACAGTAACTTCGCTTTCAAAAGTTCAACATTTAATGGAGTTTTTAACTTTATTTTATATTGATATTACAGATTTTATAATAATTTTTCGATATTGTTGTGTTGTGGAATCTGATTCAAACCGTTCAAAAAAAGTAGTAGGTGTCATGAATTCAAATTTTTATTCTACAATAGAACTTTTCTCACATATTTTGAGGTATATCGTGGAGTATATAAACAGTTCTTTTCGGAATTTTTTGATGACATGTGTCGGAGAAATTGCTGGGTGAATGAGATTTGTTTTTTCAATGGCGGACACGATTTCTCATATTTGGATCATCTGAAACTCAAAAGCCCAATTTATTCTTAAAAACTGCATGAATAGTTATCGTCCCTATTAGAATCATGAAAAAAACTCCATGTTTTTTACATAAATTTTGTCATAACATAAGGGCCGGATTTAAATTTTTGCCGCCCCGTCACTGAAATTTCCCTCAGAATTATTTAGATATGATGTTATGTTTTTAAAAAATTAAAATAGTTAACGTATTGCAAATAATTTATTATATATATGACACTTCAGTATAATATAAAAAATATAGGTTATTGTTCTTAAAACTACAAACTTTGCCCTGAGATTGACTAATAATTGTATTAAAATAATTTTTTTCACAGACAAACACGCCTGACTTTTTGAATTGCAAAATTGGTCGATTAAAGCTTCACAATCTAAACGTTGAAGTACATCTGATTCGATGCATAGAATATCTAAGCTATTGAGTCTATTTGCACTCATTGCAGAACGTAAGTAGTTTTTAACTCTTTTCAAACAAGAAAACGATCGTTCTACGCTACAGTTCGTTACAGCTAAAGTAATAAATATTCGATATGCGATTTCTACGTTCGGAAACTCTGTATAAAGGTCGTTTGCAAGCAAAAGTTTCAGAATATCGGAAGGTGAATTTTGTTCCATCTTGTTTTCAGTGCAATAAGCATGGAAGTGCACAAATTCGTAATCCAATGAGGACTCAAGATCTGAAGAATAAACATTTCGTAAACGTTTAGCTCAGTTACGAATCTCTTTATTATCCAAATTGTCAAATTCAATAATAACTGAAAACTTTTCATGAATCTTTTCATATGCAACACATCTTTTTCGCAATTCAGAATCTAGATTGTCAAGAATGAAAAGTGTTGACTCTAAAGTGGGCTCGACCTGACGCATACCGTAATTCATCAGCATGTAATTTTCTCTTTCTTTTTCTAGAAACTGTCGTTTTATATTCTTTTATCTCTGAAATATTTAAAGCAGTTTTTTCATAGATTTCGAATTAATTTCTCGTATCAGCAACAACTTTGATGAAACCACGATAATCGTCGATCACGTCAGCAATGCTACAATCACTTTCTTTCTTCGACTAACAGCATTGAATCGTGAGAGTAAAAAATGCCAAAGTATCTGCATAATTCCTGTTTCAAGTCGCTCCAATTGAATACGTAAACCTTTAGCTTCTGGTCTTGTAATTGCATTTTCTTCCATATTTTCTTCAATAATAATCAAAGTCTCGATTATTTCGTCAAAATGTTGATTAAGTATATGAACAGCTTCATAACGAGCTGACCATCAGGTTGCAGATAGAGATTGTAACGCAATTCTTTTTCCAGTATGAAATTGTAAAACTACCCAGCGGTGCGTCGATGCAGTAAAGAAGTTGTGTAAAGTTTGTACAGTATTAAAGATAGAAGCAGCTTCTGGCGCGCATTCTATTGCGTGAATAAATGCCTGATTGCATTGTTGATGACTGACTTCGACAGTCGGTGAGATCAAGATCAAAAAACTCGAGAATCGATAATACAGCAACTAGCAAATCTTCAGCTTTATGTCCAGAATTTTGAATGAACATCAGAAAACGTTCAACAATCCTTCCATCTTTTCGCACGTATCTGATAACAAACGAAAGTCGACATGAGATATATCAAGTGTGGAATCTACAATAATCGCATAATATTTCGCTGATTTGACTTCTTGAACTATGATAGAAGATACTTTTTATAATGGGTGAAAAGAAGCAAGAAATTCAATCAGCATTACAAAATTTCCATTATTTGGTGACCCAAACTTTTCATCACTTCCTCGGAATGGAAGTCCTCCAGAAGCTAAGGCTTTAGTAGCAGCGACTACTCTTCATTATCTTCTATATTTATAGCTGTATCTTGAAGTTCGCTTCCATGATGGATATTCTGTGGCAACGAAGAACTACGACTTATCAGCATTATGACTCGCAGACGGAGTTTGTTTTGAAGTTAAAGTAGAACATGCATCATTACCTGTCAAAATTTACTATTATTCTCTTGACCTAATAATACCAATAAATAATAAATATACATTACACATATCGACAAATATTATACTTGGAAAAATATGGAACTTTAAATGATTGTCGCGACAAACCTTCATAATCTAAATTCGTAAAATCTCTATTATTAGATTTTGATTTTTTTATAACACGTTCTTTTTTCGGGAAAAACCATCTAGCTTAAGAGTTTTACTTAAAACTTCTGGTTCTTTTTTACTTTTGTCCAAAGCGCGCTTTCGATACTCAGATCCACTCAATTTTTTGCGTCCATCAGCCATGATTGACATTGTATATTTGTATATTTATGCTCAAAATCAGTGGGGTTCTTTAGATCGTTCGTTTGTGTTTTCGGCACAGTTCGCATTTTCTACCAACGAATATGTAAGCGAATATTCCTTAACATCGAAAATAGCATAGCTTTTCTCATTTAACACTGAAAATGCTCAGTTCTGTTATTTTCCTGTCCCTGATGTTAAGTGGTGAAACACGCTCATCCAAAACAGTAAATATTCCAAAATTTAAATATCCGTAAATTTTCGACATCGTGAATCTTCTCTATAAATATAAGTTCTCTGCTATTATTTTTATAAAATAATTTCGATATTTCACATCTGCCAGCTGTCAACTGACAGATCACTTTTGTTTCTACTTTCCAAATTTTGCCGGCCTAGAAAATTTGACGCCCTAGGCACTAGCCCCGACTGCCCATAGTGTAACTCCACCACTGCATAACATTGTAAATAAATTATAAAAAATTATAGGGACGATAGCCAAGCATTTAGTGAACATTAAAAACAAAAATTTAGGCAAATCGGTTAGTAGTTCGGCCGAAATCATGTCCGTCAGTTTAAAAAGTATGTTTTGAGAAAAAGGCGTTTAAAGTTTGAGGTACTGAAAAAGCATAATAAATTGACATACCCCTAATTATTATTCTTGGGCCTTTTTCGAAACCTTCCAATGGTAAAGTGGGTTTCTCTATTAATTCTAAGGGTAAGGGAACAGCAAATGCAAAAAAAAAATATTTTTTTTGAAAAGATTACCCTACTGACCGTTTAAAATCTTTCTTTAATTCGGAAGTCATTTAAAACTTTAATAGGATTGCTTCATTTGCAAGTCCCATTTGTAACCAGCTGATTCGAATATTGATTTTGCGTATGTTCGAAAAGACGAAAATCCAAACAGATTCTGTGACACCATTGAAAATTAGAATTGGTTTGCAATTCTGACAGCTGAGCAATTCTGTCTTGGATTCCACAACACCCCTGATTAAATATTGTTATTGCTTTAAATGCTAGCGATAAATATCGAAATATTTACCTTCGGCTACAAAGCTTCACTGCTCTTTTGAATTAATAGAGTACCTTCATTATAAGAAACTAATCTGTATACCTATTCTAAACCAGCTCATCGGATTTTTTTTTTCTAAAGCCACTGGTAATCTGTTCAAATACATCAAGACTTAGGACAAGCTAGTCTAACAGGCTACTTTATTTTGCAGAGACCCATGCATTGGAGTATTTATCCTCCATAAATATTGTATATGAGAGATATGATGTATGAAGAGGACATAATTCTTCAGAAAAAGGCTTCATTTTGCTCATTAAAGTACATCGTTGTAGAAAGTTTCGTCAATGCGCTCTGTTATACGAGGTATTGGATCCTGCCCAATCCCTATATAAGGCTGTACATATATGTCGAAAATTACTAAAAGTTCGATGATTCACTAAATAATACATCATTAGGACTAAATTTCAGAACTTATATTGCATGGAAAGAAAACGGAACCAACTTTTACATATTTATGTGAGTTCCTATATCACTGGAACTAATCGACCAATTTTATTTTTAGTATTTCTTCTTGCCTCTAAAAATTGTCTAAATCGGATTATAATTTTTGAAGGCCACAAAAATCGAATATCGAATGATTTTTTACCGAAAATATCGGTTAACATACAGAGAGAGTATTTTTATGATAAAATTGGGTAAATCGGGGTAATACTTCAATACTCAGAAAGCATCTATTTCTGGTTATGTTATGTCGCAATGCCATAATTGGATAAAATCAGCTTAACATATCCCCTACCTCTCATACCTTAGCAAAATTATCTGAACATATGTTCTTATGTATGTATATCAGAGCCTTTCTTTGTCCTTAAGCCACCCCATATATTTATTTTCGGCTTTCCTTGATTTTCGACGACATTAACTTTAAACCATTTAGGTTGGTCAAATTGGAAGATACCTTAATGAAATTAAATAGAAAGGTTTCCTTTAAAATTATATGGTTTAGCGCTGAATATAAAGGAAATCGGTCAAACATTGGTGAAACCTTATATCTCAAATATAATGTAAGTATAGTGTTTTTATATATTATAGAAATGTTTCAAGAATGAACAGCGAAATTAAGAAAAACATAAATAAATTTTTTTTGGGGTTATACGAAAACTTTGACAGCGCTAAGAAAAGACTCTCCACTCCTGTAGTTATTTCGGATTTCGTCGTGGATGAAACCTCAAAATAAAAAAAATACTCGTTAAACTAATACGTCTAGTTTAACGAGTATTTCGATATACGATTAAATCAAAAATAATGTGCCGCGAACCAAAAATAGATAATCAATACTCAATCGGCTCAATACTTCCTCTAGCCTCCAAATAGCTAATAATCGAATTTCAAACTTGCGGTTGAATTTATAGCAAATATTGGATCGTCGAAAAAGGCTTTTCGTATTTCTATTAAAATTTCAATTTATTTATTTATTTACATATATATACAATAATAAATAAATAAAGAAATATGGACAATTTGGTCGACCAATTTTTGCCATTATTCCATCAGTGTAAATCGAAATTTAAAATTTCCGTGTTGTGCTACACGAACTGATATATCATCGTCTGCGTAAATTCACAAACTTCATTGGCGGCAGTATTCCTTTTTTATACAAAAATTTCAAAATATAGCGAATTTCTTCATTGTTTTCGCTAATTTTTGAACAGCTGCATATTTTTTCAACTTCCCCTAATTTAGGTAAATGAAGCATAAAATGTCACCTTTCCAACACTATATGGTATGACATAATATAATTAGTATCATTGGAGATATACGACTGCAACGACATCTATTGACAAAATACGAAAAGACTTTTTCGGCTACCTTTTATATCGGACAATAAGTAAGACATGCTTGCATATTTAAGTGAACGCGTACTATTGGAATATATGTACATACATAAGTATTGTGCTTAATTTGAAGCTGGGGGTGTGATATTTTATTGAATTTAAGTATATTTCTTTGAAATAATGTGGTTTAGCTTTGCTATGGCTAAGGTATTGTATTATATTTAAAATTGTTCTATTATAAGTCATTCAATAGAGTGAAGGATATTTATGAATAATAACGGAAACGTTATAACCGGTATACAAAACCATGGGTTCAGTCTTGAGATTACTTCGAAATTTGTAAATGATTGATACAGATTTTCTTTGAGTTGCTTTTAAGGACAAATAAATACAAGATGTTTAATGAACAAATTGGATATTTCCAAAGTTGTTAGTGATGGGAATTACCAGTCACGTTTTCTCCAGAGTAAACACTTACACTACTGAGTAAATTTTAGTAACATTTTACACATTGTCTCATTTTGATCCAACTAGGATACTTTATACCTCAATTATTTTAAAAGTCAAAACAATTCTTAATTTCTTTTTTATATTTTTTTATTATATTTTTTTTATTATATATTTTCAATAAAAAACCGAATGGAAATGTAAATGTTTTTGCCATTGACAAATATTTGTATCAATCATTTTCAAAATGACAACCTATGTACAATCTCTTGGACTTTTATATCTGCAATAAAGTTTTCACTGTATCAAATAGTTTATTAAATAGTATAGTGAGAATAAATTTCCTTTTTTAGTAATTCATGACTTACTAAGGAATATTCGTCTATCAAAATAAAATATTTTTATAATAACAAAACAGTGTAAATAAAGGTAAATTATATACTATATACAACATACAATATATTGTATATATGCATATTACTTGCACAACAATAACGATAATACGATTAATATCTCAATATAATTAATAGTTATAATAAGTTTGCTCTTTCCGAAGCTGTTCATATGTATATTTAGAAATGGCGGCTCATAATACGATCCAGATCATTCCAACTGCAGGAGTAGTCAATTTGCAGAAGTCCCTTTTTACTCAACCCGAATTTATGTCCGTAAATTCCATTGTAGAGTGAAGAGGACGGTCTTGTGCTGCTGTAAATAGAACTTCCTTTATTGCTGCACTCTCCGGTACCACTGTATAAATTATATACAGGTTGTGGAGAGCCATAGATCATAGAGCAATCATAACAATCAGAAACGCTACAATGTGGTAGAGTTTCATAAGGAGTGGAGTAATCATGCGAGAAGGTTGATGGTGGAAGTGAGGGAGGCGCTGGGAACTGCAATTGTGGTGAAGGTCGGCCATATGATGGTAATGTTAGGGCAGAAGTTTTGTTCGAAGTTATTGACGGTGCTTGATAATATCCTTCTCCAATAGAGCTATCCAACTCCGTGGAAGATGATGATGAAACGCCTGCAAATATATGAAATCGGGAATAATTTTTAATCTTCAATATACAATTTCTATCGGAATAAAATTAACATAAGTATATACAAATCAATTGTTTCAATCACACTCACCCCCATAACCATTGTATGCATCCTCTTCGGTTTCTAGATTCATCATAACGCGCGACATATAATCTTCGTATTTGCCACGACCAACACCCAAAAGTTCACTTCGAGTATCTTCATACCGATATGGACGTAACATTTGTTTTGATGATGTGCAACAACGCAGCTGACATGACTGGTTCCAATGGGAACGACGTGGATTTCGTGGCATAGTTTTGGCCATGCGCTTTTGTTGTACCACCGGTATCTCCTCATGCATTTTTGGCCGTGAACTATTATAGGGGCAAATCGGCAACGATGTTTCATAGTAAGGCTCAGGGAAACTACGTTCTGGCGTTGAATCCAACTTTCTGTTATGGGATATTTATCTATAAATGTGCACAAATTAAGAACATTTTGTCCAAATACTTTCTGACATAGTCGTAATTCTCCAAATCCCACGGATCCACATAACAGCGCTCCGACGGCAAGAGGGTTGTGCCATAAATGTCTTCCGTATTATCAATAGTATAGTAAGGTGACTCTGAGACCTCTTCATAGCTTCCTCGACATGGTTCTGGTAGTGGCAGTTTAGGACCACGACGACGAGGTGTGGTATAACTGCGCCCTCGCATTTTTCACAATAGCTGAGGGATTGTATACTCTGATGAAATCTATAAAAGAAGAATCATGTTATACCTGCGGTGAAAAAGTCTGTCAACAGCAATAAAAAGTATTAATGAATATAATAAAGATAAAGATGAAAGGATATTATTGTTTCAAATCGCCATCGTTAATTCAAAATCCATTTATATTTATCTATAACTAAATTGATACTTATCAGTCAAATCGTACCATTTTAGGCAGGCAATGTCAGTATAAAAATATTTATTTATTTATTAGGAGAAATATACAAAGTAGTATTAAACATAATTTAAGAAAAGAGAGTAGGAGTTATTAAAGTCATCGACTCTGAACAAACAAATATCTTAGGTTACCAACTAAATATAAAGTTATATTTTATTTTGTGGGTAACAATCAGTAATAAAATTAAAAATACTCATAATATTTGTAAACGAAGGAGTTTTTAACAATTCTTGATAATTTGGCACAAAATTGTGCTTTTGCCTAATACTCGCTAAAGCCGAACATTCGTTAAAGATGTGATGAAGTGATAGCGTGCTTGCGCAGAGAGGGCAAGATGGTTTTACTTTACCAGTAAGAAGGTGCTGACGTGCGAGTTGTGTGTGCCCAATCCTTAGTCGTGTGAAGATGATAGCTTGTAGGCGAGATATATTCCCAGGATATAAAACTTTTGTCCTTGTGGGGTTGAAGGTAGAGTACCGATGGTGAAAACGTTTCCATTCCGTGTATTTAATTTCGTGAACGTAGCGGTCCAGCATATTATAGAGGTCGTTTCTGTCGTGTGGCTCATATTGTAGGGTTGGTTGCGAATGTTACAAACAGCAGATAGACAAGAAAAGCTATTCGAGCAAATAACAAATTTGCCTTTGCTATGTATCGCATATTCAAGTGCTTTGAAAACGGCAAAAGCCTCGGCTGTAAATATCGACGAGTAACAAGGAAGAATCCCGCCTGTAATAACTTCTCCATTTGGTTTGGTGAGAGCAAAAGCTGTGCTTATCGCTTGGGACCCGTCTGTGTAAATTGCAGTCCAATTGCTTTCTTCATAGGTTTTCATTAACTCTAAGAAGTATTTCTGAAATACTAAATTAATGGTATTGCTCTTTTTGAAGGAGAGAGGGAACATGTTATTAGTTTCTTTTTTTAACAACCACTCCGACTGTTTGTTGACCCTCTTGTACTTTGGAGGCGGATATATGTTTAAATCCTATCCGTATTTTATACAACGGCGTTAAGTGAATTTTAGCCTGCAGTTCCGTTTATGTGGTGACGCGTAAATTACGGTTTAATGTAAGCTGGCATTTGGAGAGTATATCAGTTTTGGAATTAGTTGCATCGTTCGTTCCAATACCCTTTCCCTTCATGTTGGTAGGCCACATTCCACCAAGATGCACTTAATAGGAGATGTAGGGGAAGCGTTTATACTCCGACGGCTCACTTCATGGTAAGGAGGTTCCAAAAGTTTCAAATTAGAGTTTGCGCACCATCCAAAAATATTTAAACCGTATTCGATTTTAGCGAGTATTAAAGCTCTTGTAGCGTTTATTAGAGAGTTGGGATGAATAAAAGATCTTTTACTAGTTAAATATTTAATTATGTGTCGTCTTTTTGTTAAGTTATTTCTTAGGTTAAGACATTGATACCGAAAATGAAATCTTTTATCATAATATACTCCTAAAATATTTAAATTGCTTACGGATTCTATTACAATATTTTCAAAAACTAATTGTGGATATATATTTACATTTTGTGTTTTTACAAATATGAAGTAATTTACATTTTGGAAAGGAAATTGTTCCACCAGATTTCATGCCCCATTTCTTAAACTTAGTATTTTCTTAAAAATATTGTTGGCAGTTTGGGGATCTTTTATATTGCAGTAAATAATAGCGTCGTCCGCGTACATAGTAAGTTTAATACCTTTAGTTTTAAGGCATATCTCAGTTAATTTATCAAAAGGTATAATAGAAGGCATCACCGATAGTGGCGCGCCTTGCGGTATACCATTTTTGAGAGGATTCAAACTGGATAGAACATTGTTTATGCGAAACTGAAATTTTCTTAGGATCATAAAAGCTTTTACTATTCTAAAAACTTTTGGACCTGCCTTCCCAGCTGCTAATTGGCTTAGCACTGCATGAGTTCCTATGCGGTCAATATCTCTCTCGAAATCAGCGACCAGGATAGTGGCATGGTTTTTGGTGAAGAGAGTGTCAGATACATAGTGTTGGAGTTGAATAAGTGAATCCATTGTACTGTGCTGATGTTTGAAAGCCGTTTGGTTGTGATTTATAAAATTATTTTTTGTAAGAAACCATGAAAGTCGCCTAGCAATAATTTTTTAAGCAGGATAACAAGGAAATTGGTCTGTAAGAAGTAGTTATATTTTTTTTTTGGTTTAATAATTGGGATAATGGTGGCTATCCGCCAGTTTTGTGGGTAGGCAGAGTAGTCTTTCTTTAGCATTGGTAGGTAGTTCGAAAGCATCGGGTAGGATACCCTATCAATGCCTGGTGTTTTGCCTTAAGCATTTTGTAATGCAGATTCTAGTTCGCGGAAAGTAATATCGCACTCTAAGCTTCTTGCTGATGAGGAGAGATCTTTTGGTGTATAGGTGGCAGATATCCAATGTTGTCGGCGATATATTCTGCAGAAAAACTACTATCTTGCGAATATGTAGACCAAATATTGGCGAAGGTTCCCGCAATATCTGCGGAATTCGCCAAATATTATGATTTGTATTAATGAAATTAATACGGTAATGAGGGATTCCAGTCAAACGTTTAATGCCTGACAATATCTTTTTGGTAGTTGACGCAGGAGAGATTTTGGCAGTGAATACTTCAAAACTTTTCCTTTTAGCCGTCTTTACAGCTCTTTTAAAGAGGGCGTTTACTTTTTTATAATTATTCAGATTATTATCAGATATTGATATCTTGAAAGTATTCCAGTATTCATTTTTTTTTTTGTTTGTCACGCATATGACCAAGATCTTTATTTCACCAAATCGGAAAAACTTTAGAAGACTTGCGTTTGGTTTGAGGAATCGATTTATTTGCCGCAAAACGAATCAGTTTTGTGAATGCAGATGTGGCTTGGTTGATATTGTTGATTGGAGTGGTGGGTAAACTTTTTAAAATTTCTCTTTGAAATATATTCCAGTTTGCGCGTGAAGTAATAAATTTTGGAAGATGCTTATATTTTTCAAAGTGGAAACTTGTTTGAAGTAAGATCAATAGGAAAGTGGTCACTACCTCTGAGAATAGAGGAAGCTTCCCAATTGATTCTGGGGGAGAGCTGGGGAGAGGATAGGGAAAGGTCGACGCTCGTTAGGGAAGAGTGGGTAGAAAAATGTGTGGTTGCGCCATTGCTAAGAATAATTAGGTTGCTGTTCAATGAAAAATTCTCTATGATTGCACCCCTTGTGTTAGATTTTCGGGAACCCCAAAGTGTATTCCGCGCGTTGAAGTCCCCAGTCCAGAAAACCGGTGGGGGTAGTTGGGTAAGTAAATCTTTCAAATCAGTTTCGTTAAAAACTTGCTGGGGTGGTATATACGTATTAATGATAGCAAAGCTAAAATTTAAGTTGATTTAAGAACTATTGTTGGTAGTGTGGAATTTAAAACGATAATTTCATGTGGTATGATTTTTTTTATTAAAATGCAAACGTCTTGCTTATTGCTTCGGATATTATGTAAATTCGAAAAATAACCGCTGTATTGCCTAGGAGAGGAAATGTTGTTACTGGGAGTAACTGAGATATGTGTTACTTGAATACAAATAACATCTGGGTTTTGTTCTTTTATGAGCAATAAGAGTTCATCATAATTGTTGTTGTACCCGTTTATGTTCCACTGGATGATTTTAAGCGTCATTAATAAGACAGCGAGCAAACATATTTTGTTTATCTGTATATAGTATGTTCAGATATCGTTTGTATTAAATTTCATCTTCGGATGTATTTAATACTTGAGTGATAGAGAGTACTTGAGAAAGGGATGGAAGATTTTCGAAAGGTAGGGATTGGAATTGAGAAGACGGAGAGAATGGTGGGTTTGTTTGGTATGGTGAAGTCGATTGAGTGGATGGCTTGTATTTAGAAAGAGGTGGGGTATTATTAGTGGTGAGGTTAGTGGTGAARTCATTACAGACAGAGAGTCTTGGTGGACTATCAGAGTTAATGGAGCAGCGAGAGAGGTTAGTTCCGTTTGTCCGTAGAGGCGTTGAAATGTTCATTTCTAATGCTTGAGTGGATTCCAATATTGGTTTGCTGTAAAGGAGAAATACTTGTAGATTGAGTGCTATTTTTGGTGATTTTTGGTGAATTTGATCTTTAAGTGTTGCTGTGAGAACTAACTTTGTTAGTGTTTATGGTGGTGAAAGAGTCAACGTTAGTGTTTGTTGTTTCGATATTTTCGTTGGAATTGGACGCTATTGAAGCATATGTGTTATTGGATAGAAAAGCAGGTGTTGTTGTTCTTTATGAATTTTTACTGCTTCGCGCATTGAACATTTGATTATTGTTTTAATTTTTATTATCTCTTTTGCTTGTAAAAATGTGGTACAGTCTTTAGAGGATGATGCGTGTTGTTGGAAGCAATGGATGCAAAAAATGCGTTCGCAATCCGATGGAGCATGGGGAGGGAGTGAACAATTCACACAAAGGGGCGCTTTGCTGTATGATCAAGAAGTTGACAATTTTTGCAGCGCATTGGCGAAGGAATATATTGACGTACCAAAAGTTTGCACCAGGCAACGTCAATTTTATTTGGTAACTTGTAGAGGTTGAAGGTTAGTAATAAAACCCCGAGGGGTGCGGGTTTCCTTCAATAAACTTATTAAATTTAAATACTGACACGACGCCATGAGAGCTGAGCTCCTTTATTATCTCCTCCTCTGAAACGTTGTTTAGAAATGGAGAAAATATCGTCCCTTTTACTTGGTTCAGAGACTCATGTAGAGTGCCTGATATTGAACATATGTTGGTTCTTTTACTTTCAGAATTTTTTTTGCAATATCGTTATTCTTGACAAGCATAATTAGTAGTCCATCTTGAAGGGTAGATATGGATAAGTAATTTGCTTAATGGCACGATAAATAACACAGCAGGAGTAGTAGGAAAGAGGTTTGATCGAGTCAGTAGCTTCCATCACTACGAATTGGGGGTCGTCAACTTTTATATCTGGGAGTTTTCGAAAATCCATAACCGAAACACTTTTACCAGTTTTACGTTTTTTTTACCAGGTCGAATTTTTTATCGAATACGGCGAAACGATTCGCCTAGATAATTTGAGGCCCAGGGGCCATTTTGTACTAGAAACACTGATCCGCACTTTTTAATAAGATTCTGCGCGAGTTATTTTCTTTATTTATGAATATATTT